GGTACCGCAAGCAGGGCCCGTGACATCCAGTTTCCCGGCGCCCCACCTGTCCTCCGCAATGAGAGCCACCCCGAAGGGGTTCCTGATCTTTCGGAGATCCCTGCACTTAGAGTGCAAAAGGCTAACATGCTGTATAAGTTGACTCTTGAGCTAAGTTCTTACTGTCTTCTGAACGGCAAATATTTTTCCTGTGAAAATCCGAGACGCAGCTACCTTTGGCTGCTTCCTCAGTGGCAGCAGTTCTTGAAGCGCGCGGATGTCTTTCAAACTGTCTTTCATCACTGTGAGTTTGGTGGCATGCGTCGCAAAGAGACGCTCCTGGTGCATAACATCCCCAAATTCCGCGAGCTTCATCGTTTGTGCTCTGGCAAACATGTGCATCTGGGCTGGGGTAAGGTCGGCCGTGCGTGGGCAACCAGCGCCGAAACGGCCTACCCCTGGGGCCTCTGCAAGTGCATGGCGAGCTTGCTGAAAGATCACTTTTTGGAACTTGGCTGTCGCCAATCTCCCAAAGCTATCGATGAAGGCGCACCCGCCATCCAAGGCGCGCGTGCTTTCACTGGAGCCCAGACTCGCAAGCGCGTACCTCCGCTGCTTAGCGAATTCGCTTCGGTTCACACTGTCACTGTGCCTTCCAATCTTGCCGCGTCTTTCTTGCGTCCTGGCCAAAAGCTCCCGTCTCCATGGAAGCCCGGAGATGATGCTGCTTGTTCTCCGGCAATCGAGTGCTTTCCGGCAGGCAGCCGTGTCCTTCGTGCCCATGTGGTGCGCAAGGGGATTGAGGTTGGCCCTAGTCCCACGGCTGTTTCCCCTAGTTCCGGTTTAGTCCCTGCAGCCCCTCGTGTGTTAGGTGCCGAGGGTTTTGCGAAGAGCAATCTGCTGAAGCCTTCTAGCAGAAAGCGTCCTTTTGCTAATGTTCTTGGATGTGCTGAGGCTTCTCTCGGTCTGAATCCTGACGATACCGAGGTTCGAGAAGCCATGATGTCGGGTTCTGCCGAGCGGGTTGCTTCGCTTGTGAACAAGTTGCCTAAAATACACCGTAAAGACTTGTCCTTGTTGCTTGATTTGCTTCCTTCAGAACCTCTTCGTCGGGAGGGCGATGCTGGAGCGAAATCGTTCCAAGGTGGCAGCTTTGTTCACGGCCCGATGTGCGGGGTGCGATCAACGACCAAGCAGTTCCCGGAAACTGTCAAGGCAATGTGCTCTTATGTCAAAGGCCTTTTTCCAGGTTTGGAGTTCGGAACTGTTGGGATGTTCAGGGATGTGTCCGCTCAGCCCCACCGGGACTCGAATAATGAAGTTTCCACAGACAATGCGATTGCTGCGCTGTCGGATTTTTCTGATGGCTCTGTGTGGATGGAAGATCCTGCGGGTGACGTCGAGCTTGAAATCAAAGGTCGCGCAGTGAGAGGTGTTTGCATTCCCGTCACCCATGAAGGCTTCAGGTTCGATGGCCGTCGCCTTCATTGCACAAGGCCTTGGACGGGCCGGCGTGACGTTATTGTTGCGTACATGCCGAGGGGCCCTAAGAAACTTAAAGCTGAGCACGCCTCTTTCTTGAAGAGCCTGGGATTTGTGCTTGATCGAGCGGCTTCGGGGTCCCAAGCCTCGCCTGGGGACATGACTAAGGCTGTCATTGGTGTGTACCGGACACCATCGCAGTTTGTTGAACAGGCAATTAAGGTTGGGCACCCCACGCAGCTCTCTGCTCTCATGCCTTCCGAGATCTCCTGTGCAGTCCGGAGAATCCATAAAGAAGGTGAGGCCACTGTGGCCAAGGAGCGCACCGCAACACTTCGCCGGTGGGTTAGCAGAGCAGCCGACTTAGAGCCAGCCGAGCGCGCGCTAAAGGCTGACCTTCCTCAGTTTCGAAAGGATGTTCTTAGTCCTAAACGCCTCGCTCTTTTCGAGGAGCTGTTGCTTGAAGTGGGACATGAGGACGTTGACCTTGTCAAAGACATTGCCCGTGGGTTTGACTTGACAGGCAAGCTGCCTAGATCAAATGTTTTCGCTAAGCGCTTTCGTCCTGCGGAGCAGAGTGAATCTCAACTTCGATCCAGCGCTAAGAGGCTGCGTGATGGTCTCCTGGCCACGATCAAAGCTTCGGAGGATCCTGTGATTGACCAAGGTGTTCTTAAGGCGACGATGAAGGAACTTGAGCGCGGCTTCGTTGACGGACCGTTGTCTCCAGACCAGATCCCTGAAGATGCGTCCTTAACACATCGTTTCGGAGTCATTCAGGGGAGCAATGAAGACGGTCCAAAGGTGAGGCCCATAGATAATTACCTGTCTTCCCAAGTCAATGCCGCAGTCACGCAGGTTGAACAAGTCAGCGTGCACACCATTGATGTGGTGGCCGGGATGCTGGCCTGTTGGTTAAATGAGTGGTTCGTCAACGGGCGCCCAGAGCACAGCACGCCAGTGTGCAAGGCGTGGGACCTGCGCACCGCCTATAAACAACTCCCCCTTTCGGATTTAGCTTACGCCTTAGATAGTTTCTTTGTGCTCTTCAACATTGAGCGTGGGGCGAGCGAAATCTATCGCCAGCGGGTGCTTCCCTTCGGCTCAACAGCCAGCGTGACCAGCTTCATAAGAACGGCTTACGCCATTTGGAAATTAGGTGCCGTAGGGTTGACTCTTGTCTGGAGTGAATATTTTGATGACTATCTGAATCTTTGCGGCAAGGCTTTTGCTCGGCATAACGACTTTGTAATCTCCATGTTATTCCAACTGCTGGGATGGGAGATCTCGAAGGATAAGGAGCTCAGCTACGATGCACTTTGCGTCGTCCTGGGAGTGCAAGTGAACCTTCGTGATGCCAAGCTCGGTTTGGCTTACTTGGAGAACACCGTGAAGAGGCGGACTGAGGCGTTGTGTGACATTGAGCGGGCTTTAGCAACTGGTAAGCTTGAACCTAAAGAAAGTGAAAAGCTAAGGGGCCGGTTGCAGTTCGCTTGTTGCCAAATTTTTGGCCGGCGACCAAAGGCGGCTTTGAAGTTGTTGTCGCAGCACTCCAGGCAACGCAGATGGGACGTCAGCCAGCTCACGCGGCTCGCACTCACTCAGCTGAAAAGTTTCCTTGAAAGTTCCAAGCCACGTCCAGTCAGGGCGCGGCGTGAAGACTTTGTCCATGTGTATGTGGATGCTTCCTTCGAGCCAAACGGCCACTGTGGTTTAGGAGGAGTAGTTTTCAGTTCTTCTGGTGAGGCGTTGTGCTGGTTTGGTCAAGCTGTTGCCCCAGTACATGTGCAGAAGCTCTTGAAAGCTGGTGACCGCGAAAGGGAGACAGTGATCTTCGAGCTTGAGGCGCTTGTGCTCAGCATTTGCCTCGAGGCCTTTCGCCCGTACGTCGAGCGGAAAGGTGTTGTCATTTTCACTGACAATGAGGGCGTGTTCGGAAGCTTCGTCAGAGGCCATAGTGACAATGCTTCTTGTGCTGCCTTGATCGACTTCTTTGCTTGCTGAAGAGAGCCTGGAAACGATCTGCTGGCTAGATCGTGTGCCATCCTCTTCCAATCCTGCAGACGACCCATCGCGTGGCGTGAGCATCCGAGGTGCACCACGTGTCGATCTTGACATGAATCTCTTGAGTCGCGCGCTTCCTGAAGTCTTTGGGTGAATGGGGTACATGTTCTCAGGGGAAGCGGGATGTACCGCATTCACTTGGGATGTCCAAGAGTTTTTCCCTAGCTGAGACAATCGACGGATTCCCCATGCCACCTACGAGGAAAAGTCTTGTGCTGTCGAGTGAGTGCGTTGCGAACTCTTGAGATACGCAATTATGTTTAATATACAGATTGGAGAAATTCTGTTTTCATGATAAATATTTCTCCTTATGATTCGATTGATGCCAGCCGATTGAAATATGTTCTCCGCATGGCATCCATGCATTGTTCAGGTTCACGCGGTAACTTTACACAAGTGAAAATAAGCCACCGTCGCAGCTTGCCTGCGTACGGTATTATTTTCACGTGGAAAGTTTGATTTTGAAATCTTATTTCAAAATCAACGCTTGAGTTTTCAAACGTCTCTTGATGTCAGTCTGCAACTGTTGAGCCATGCGAAGATGCGAAATTCCAGTTGCCGTTGTGCTCTGAGGTAGAGCGCAATTTTTGTTTTCTCCCACCCACCCACCCGGGGGGAAGCGGGATGTACCGCATTCACTTGGGATGTCCAAGAGTTTTTCCCTAGCTGAGACAATCGACGGATTCCCCATGCCACCTACGAGGAAAAGTCTTGTGCTGTCGAGTGAGTGCGTTGCGAACTCTTGAGATACGCAATTATGTTTAATATACAGATTGGAGAAATTCTGTTTTCATGATAAATATTTCTCCTTATGATTCGATTGATGCCAGCCGATTGAAATATGTTCTCCGCATGGCATCCATGCATTGTTCAGGTTCACGCGGTAACTTTACACAAGTGAAAATAAGCTTCTCGAATAGGGGTGGGGCGGAAAGTCGGAAAGACGTATGGTATCGCTCAAAGGTTGTCGGGGAGGGTAGGAATGCCTCCCGATTGTGGAGAAGGAGGTAACTCCTTGCTTGGCTAAGGTGTCGGCCCGTTCGTTTCCGTCGTGGCCCGAATGTCCTTTGATTTTCAGTAGCGATACGGTGATACTGGAGAGAAGGTGGTCCAGGAGGATGCGTAGTTTGGTTAAGAGTTGAAGGTGTTGCGTGGGTATGGAAAGGCCATGGAGAAAATCATAAGCGAGCTGGGAATCGGTATAAACGTTAAGAGCAGAAATCGAGAGATGGGTTTTGTGTCTGGCGACATAATCCAGTGCCTCTAATAGGGCCTGTAGCTCGGCGGTATTGTTAGAGCCCACGACTTGGAGCTCTAAGTTGTGGCCCACTGGGCCCCAGCTCCGTGCCTCGTTGGCGTCCCTTGTGACCGCCTTCGGTGCCTCCGTCTTGCCGGGTGTCGTTGTGCTGGCCTCGCAGGCGGACCTTCGTGCAGGTCCTCAGCGAGAGGTGCGACTCAATGCACTACGTGCTGTCATGGCCGAGCAGAACATCACGGAGCTGGTCTTGTGGCAGCACGCAGACAGCCTGGACCAGGCAGGCGTGCAGGCAGAGCTGGCAGAGCTTCAAGCGGCGCTGCAGAGGGTGCCAGGTGCCTGGGGCCTTCTAAACGGGTTGGAACTAAAGCCTTGTTCCTGCAGTGAAGCACGGATTTGGCCGGCTCCGGCTGACTCAGGTGTGTCCACATCGGCGCTTGAAGATCTTTGGCAGCGACAGCGGCAGCGTGCTCAGGAGCTCTGTGATCGCCAGACCGCGCGCACGAGGGTGGTCCAAGTGGAGGAGCAGCAGCCTGGTGTCGCACAGCATACCCGCCATTTTCACGATTCTTGCATATATGTCACGATGTGTCATGCAAAGTTGCAGGGATTCGTAGAGTGCAATGTTAGAGTGAGATGCGGTGTCTTCCGACCTGCTTTCAGGTTCGCGGAGCCCTACACGGACCAGGAGGCATACCAGGAACAGGAGCCTTACACCGAGCAGGAGCGCTACACAGAGCAAGTGCCCTACACGGAACAGGAGGCTTACGAGGAGAATGAGCCCTACACCGTAACGGAGTATCAGGACGTGCAGGTGGAAGAGCAGAGAACCAAGAGACGAGGCGGACTCGCTGGGGCTTTGGGCCAAAGGAAGACGTACACGGTCCAGGTCACCAAGAGAGTTCCCGTCCAGGTGCAGAGGCAGAGGCCCGTGACGCGCCAGCGTGAAGTGACGCGTTACCGAGCCGAAGAGCGCACTCGGCCCGTGACGAAGTACCGTGCGGTCACCAGGCAGAGAGATGTGACCCGCTACCGCACCGCAACGCGCACCGTGGACCGCCCGGTCGAGTACTTCCTGCCAGTGGAGGACTTCCACCAGCCAGCCCTGGAAGAGATCCTCGCCGAGGTCCGCGCTGAGTTCCGCGGTGGCCAGTGATCGTTGGCCGAACAGGCAAGCCTTGGTTTTGGGTGCCCTGCCGCCGTCGTGCTCCATGCTGAGAGCACAGTCTGAATCGCCCGCCAGAAATAAGCTTGTGTTGAGGGTTTAATTTGGACTTGTGCCACGGTGGAGCATGAGGCGTCTGGCACCAGGCATGGGCTACTTGCAGCTTGCAGCATTTGATGTTTGATACCTTGAGCAACTTGGCAGAGTGCTGTCACTTTGAGCTCTCGCACAGTTCTGAATCATAGCTTCTGACCTCCAGTGGTCCATGCCTCTTCATGCCATGATCGGCTCCAGTGCACGCAGTTGCTGTGCCAGGCAGCCCGGCAGTTTCAATCCCTGACAAGACGGCAAGAGTGCTTGCTCCAAAAAGAGTGCTGCTGCTGTCTTGACGACTCGATGCTGAGCCCTTCTCTGGATGGCATCTCTGTCGCATTTGTAGAGACGTTGCGAGACGGCTAGCTTTCGTGCTTTTCAGTCGGGAAGCTCGTTGCAGCAGTTCGGCTCGAGCTTGTAGACACCTTGCAGGTTAGCTGACGCCAGCCATGGAAGAAGCCATCGTGCTCCGTGGCCCATCGCAGACGGGCAAGTCGACCTTCATGAACATGGCGACCCAGCTGCAGCATCTATCAACGAAGGACCTGTCACTAGTGAACCTGTGATAGTTGTGTAGAGTCGGTGGTTGCATGGCCCAGGTCTTGCTTCCAGGGGATGCAGCGGCCGCGGCGACCGGTAATGGCTCCGGCGAGTCCGTGACACACGACACCGCAACTCGGCGCACGTCTTTGGGCCTCGTGGTTGATGGTCCCGGCGACAACGACTCTATGATGCGGTTCACGAACGAGGAGGCGGGAAGGCGCTACGCAGTGGGGGTCGCGGCCCTACGTGTGCAGCGGCTCAAGTTTCTGATCTTCGAGAGCTTGGCGTCCCCTGCGGTGCAGCTCCGTGCCTCGTTGGCGTCCCTTGGGACCGCCTTCGGTGCCTCCGTCTTGCCGGGTGTCGTTGTGCTGGCCTCGCAGGCGGACCTTCGTGCAGGTCCTCAGCGAGAGGTGCGACTCAACGCACTACGTGCTGTCATGGCCGAGCAGAACATCACGGAGCTGGTCTTGTGGCAGCACGCAGACAGCCTGGACCAGGCAGGCGTGCAGGCAGAGCTGGCAGAGCTTCAAGCGGCGCTGCAGAGGGTGCCAGGTGCCTGGGGCCTTCTAAACGGGTTGGAACTAAAGCCGTGTTCCTGCAGTGAAGCACGGATTTGGCCGGCTCCGGCTGACTCAGGTGTGTCCACATCGGCGCTTGAAGATCTTTGGCAGCGACAGAGGCAGCGTGCTCAGGAGCTCTGTGATCGCCAGACCGCACGCACGAGGGTGGTCCAAGTGGAGGAGCAGCAGCCTGGTGTCGAACAGCATACCCGCCATTTTCACGATTCTTGCATATATGTCACGATGTGTCATGCAAAGTTGCAGGGATTCGTAGAGTGCAATGTTAGAGTGAGATGCGGTGTCTTCCGACCTGCTTTCAGGTTCGCGGAGCCCTACACGGACCAGGAGGCATACCAGGAACAGGAGCCTTACACCGAGCAGGAGCGCTACACAGAGCAAGTGCCCTACACGGAACAGGAGGCTTACGAGGAGAATGAGCCCTACACCGTAACGGAGTATCACAACGTGCAGGTGGAAGAGCAGAGAACCAAGAGACGAGGCGGACTCGCTGGGGCTTTGGGCCAAAGGAAGACGTACACGGTCCAGGTCACCAAGAGAGTTCCCGTCCAGGTGCAGAGGCAGAGGCCCGTGACGCGCCAGCGTGAAGTGACGCGTTACCGAGCCGAAGAGCGCACTCGGCCCGTGACGAAGTACCGTGCGGTCACCAAGCAGAGAGATGTGACCCGCTACCGCACCGCAACGCGCACTGTGGACCGCACGGTCGAGTACTTCCTGCCTCTGGAGGACTTCCACCAGCCAGCCCTGGAAGAGATCCTCGCCGAGGTCCGCGCAACTCCCGGACGCTCTTTTCCAGCATGCAGACAACTACTTCCTCCAGGCGATGGATTTGGTCCCTGCTTCGCATGTCAGAGCTGCAGATGGCCGGACCCTCCAGGTCACGCATGTCTTGGAACACCAGGTGCCGGAGATCCTGGAGCTGACCAGCGGTGACTTCACCCTCCGCATCAGCCCAACTCATCGAGTGGTCACGCCAGATGGCGAAGTCCAGGCCGACAGCTTGGTCACAGGGGACTTCATCGTCTCCACCAGTAGGCAGGCACGTCGGTTGACCAACGTGGCGAGGATCCAAGGGGGGCCTCACACTGTCCTCGAAATCGGGTTTCGCCCGGATGCACCAGACTCTCGACATGATTGGTACTTTCGCTTCTCTTGCGTTTTGCTTGGCCAAACCCCAAACCCCAAACTATGTGCCGACACATGCAAACCTACCAGAAGCTACAAACGGCACCAGGAATGAGCCACTCCCCAAGGCATCTCGCCCCGTTTGGCGACACCTCAATCCCACCCCGAGAGAACTTGAAGGCTCCGAACCCTAAACCTAAGCCTCAGAGCCAGAAGTCCCAAGGTGGCCGTTTTCCACGAGCCGCCGGAGATGATCTTGACGATGGGGCAGCGTGCAAGATCGGCCCGGCGCAGCCGCATGAATCGCAGAGGCATCCACGGCTGAGGGAATGTGACTTTTTGGTGGGTTTTGATGGGTTGTAGCACGGCAAATCCTAGCAGGGGCGTCCGGGCCACTTGAAATCCTGTTCGGCAATTAGGGTTTAGGGTACCCTTAACGTCCTTGAGCCCGAGCCTGAGGCCATGAAACTTTGTCGTGGGCTGTAGATGGTGGCAAGTCCGCAACGCACGTCCCCTCTACTTCTACCCAGTAGCTTGTATTTGGGTTTTAGGGTTTAGGATTGAAGATCTTGAAGCTTCTTCTTGAAGAGAAAGCAATACAGCTGCCCGACGGCTTGGTGATAAAGTCATCCCCAAAAGCTCAAAATCTTTCTTGGAGGTCGGGGAAACCCTGGACATGCAGATGAGGTGACTTACCTGCATACTATACGGAACTCTATGTTAACATCTTCATGGTGTCTTGCACCAGATTGATATTTATCATATTGTCGAAACGCCGGATTCGGCAACTGGCACTTCTCAAACAGTCACGAGCTACAAGTTCAGGGCTGGTTGCGATGTATCTTAAACCCGAGTTTGCCAGATGGCAACCAAGCTTATGCACCTCAGGTCAGCATTCCGGAGACGGCCCCGGGACTGTACCGTGACTGATCGGAATCTGACCTTTAGTTTCTGGGCTACCTTTTCCGCAGGTCCTCGATGAGCAGACAGTCTGATTACAATGCAGTACTGGTTTGTATGACAGGAAGCTACGCAAAGCTACAGCTGTTGGGCCCAGCCTTATTTCGAGAGCAGGGCAGATCGTCCTTCAAAGCCTTAGCTTCATTCAAAGCAATTCAAGAAGTTTTGTGGGCCTTGTCCCCACAGGAAGCAATGTGTGGGACATGTTCCCGGGCCCTCCATAAGTTGTTGGCCGGACCAAACTTGCTTCATGCTGAGAGCACGGTCTGAACTGAGCAGATTAGACCGTGAGGGTTCAGGATTTAGGATTTAGGGTTAGGAAGAGATAGAAGTTCAGACCTGTGCCACGGTGGAGCAAGAGGCCATGAGCCATTCAAGTGGCAGAGCATGTCATGTTCAGAGGCGCTCCCAGTGGGAGCCCGGCTTTCCAGGAAGTTCTGTCACAGCTTTCCGGGTGCCATTGCACACTCTCGCTGTGCCCGGCAGCCCGCATGTTTCAATTCTTCACGAGGTCAGCGAGAGTGCTTGCTGAAAATCCTTACCTTTGGTTAGTAGGGAATGGAAGAATGGTAGTAATAGTCGCTATACTTGTACCCCATTCCTCCATTTCCTACTAACCCAAGGTAAGAATCAGCTGCTTGCAGAGGCGCAGGAAGTCCCGAGGCGAGCTTGCAATCTTGAACTTCCTTCTTTGGTTAGTTTTTCTTCCGAAGCCATACCGTGAATCGACTGTACGTCAACTTCAAGACACGGCGTTGGCGCAGCAAACATGGAGGCTTACCCTCTGCAGACGCTTAGAACTTTCTTTGCTAACTTGCATTACAGATGAGATGATCTTGTTCCGGGGTTTCTTCATAGGATAATCTGCCAAGCGTCTCTTCCCAGGCAAACTTCTTAGCGTGGTGTAGCCAGGTTTGCCGGGGTTTCCCAACACGCTTTTTGCCATATCAATTCTACTAGCACTGCTTGGCATAAACGATACTTGTCGTAAAGGATCTGAATTTGCACTACGAAGTATATGACCTAAAAGCTTAGCGCGTCGTAGATTATGGAACTCACTGAATAATAGTATCTTTCGTTGGTCGTCCCGGCTTGGAAATGCTATCATACTTGCTTCTTCCAGAAGCCTTGCATTGGCATTTGTGCGATCTATATAGATGGGAGCTTTGTTTAAAATCTTCCGAATGCCCCTCATTTGGAACGCATTGAGCTTCTTTGCCATAGCAGTGGTTAGGTGGATAGTTTCTAGCCCATACAGTAGCTTGCTGCGGATTATGGCGTCATACACTACTAGCTTCACATCTCTTGCTAGCTTGGGTTGCTTTGCAATAAGGGTTCAATTTGATCCAAGTGCGTCTTACCTCTTGTAGCTTGTTCGAGATCTCGTGACGAATATTGACCTCCCTGTTGATTTCATTACCAAGATACGTAGCTTCGTATTCAGTGGCTAAGGGCGTGCCATCTTGAAAATGTATGGAGCCTTCATTATTCATGGGTATTGCGACGCACTTGTCTCTATTCAAATGGAGTCCGTACTGCTGTGAAATCCTCTCGGTGAGACATAAAAGTTCGTTGAGAGCCTTGTTGCTTTGGGAAAACATAATAGTGTCAGCAGCATAATAAACCATATCAAAATCCAGACCCGGAATTCTATTATTGATTACGTAACCAGTGATGGAAGACTGAATATCAGAATCAATGCACGATATAACCAGTGTGAACAAGAAAGGGCTCAACGGGCATCCTTGTCGTATGCCGCTTCTTTGCTCTTTTCTTGTTGCAGTACCGAAATCATCCTTCACAAAGAATGTCGGCTTTCGATAACAATCCGCAATAACATCTATGTAATGTTGGCTGAAACCTAATCTGTATAGAGCAACCAATAGCTTGTCATGTTGAATCTTATCGAAAGCCTTCTCCCAGTCGAGCAACGCGATGCCTAGCTTTGCAGCTTTCGACTCTGCAAAGTCCTGTATACGTCTGATAAGGTAGATGGCATGTGACGTGGATTTGCTCGGTCGGAAACCGTACTGCGTCCTTGTTAAAAGGTGCTCGACCGAATTCTGCATTCTGGACCTGATCATCATCATATACACCTTGTAGATACTACTTAATAAAGATATAGGCCTATAATTAGAGGCAACATCTGTATCTCCTTTCTTGAAGATCGGAGCGACCCGCGCCAAGAACAGTTCTTGGGGGGCGGTTTTTTTGGACTACCATCTATTGATTAATTGAAGTAGAATATCCCTATTTGGCGCATCGAGCCATTTCAGGAGCTCTATGATGATCCCGTCAGGTCCAGGTTGTTTATTGCATTTTGCTGCTTGTAAGGCGTCGTTCAGTTCTGAAACAGTGAAAGCTGACTCATCAGCAAAATTGTTGTCAACAATTTTTGTTCTGCATGGCTGTCCGTTAACATCATTTTTCCAATGCTCTTCTTCCAAATAACTTGCAACAGTTTCTGCCCCAAGGATCAACGGAACGTGTTTGCTATGTTTGTTTTTCATTTTCACGTATTGAGGTGTGAATTTTCTCTTCAAACTTCGAACTGCTCTACATAATCCTTTTTTGTTTGGGTCTTTAGGGTTTTCATTAAATTTCTCCACCAGTGAGGCTTGTTTATCCATGTTGGCAGATTTTGTGATGTCTTTATTTAGTTGTTTCAGTTCAGCAGAAGTCATACCGTGTATTCTTCCTTGGTTTCGTTTCTCAATCTTTGCCCAAGTTCCCCTACTAATGTATGATTTTTTCTTGTCATGTGGAATTTTTTCTAAATGCTTATCAGCTGCCTCTTGAAGTAAGGTAGAAAACAATTGCAAGCAAAGTGAATCACGTTTTATTGCATTCTGAATATGCATGTTGTAATTTTTCCATCTCTCCACATTGGGTTTGTAAAAACGTTCAGTTCTTTCTTTGTTTCGTTCTTGGTGGCATAACCCTTTAATCATGATCTGGCATTCTAGCACAAAATGGTCAGAATCGAAGAAAATGTCTTTTCGACTTTGTGCATCATTTATCGTTGATCTCCAGGCGTCGCCTGCTAACCAGTAATCTAATTGAGCATATTTGTGTGCGTCATATGGAGGACCTACATCCAAATTGTCTGCTTGCTGTGCACACTTTTCTTTGTACGTGAGTAATTTGTCAGGTTGTTTCCGGAATTGTGTGTTCATTATTTTCAATGCATGAATTTTGCAAAATCCCAAAAACCATTCCTCTTCCCAGTATGTGCGGACCACAAACGTCTTTGTCTATATTGCGGACATAGTGCACCCTGGCATTGAAATCGCCACCTACATAATAATTCATAATAAGTACCCTTAGTTTGTAAGATCTCGTCTGATAATAAATCATAGAAGCTTTCTTTTTCTTCAAGAGCATGTGCGCTATGTGGTGCGTAGATCGCAAAAAAGAGATGTCTGAGCCAGAATCGGCGCAAGTAGCTTTCATCATTCTACCGCTGATCTGCTTAATGTCTTTAAATGAATCCACCAACGTACCTTTGACAACAATCGCAACACCAGCATTTTCGAAGTCCGGGGCATTCCGGAAATGTGTGTATGTGGTCGTTCTGTCCTTATTTGCCTGTGATTTGTTGTCTTCCTTCCTTTTCAATTCTTTCTCTCTAATTGTAGGATCAACGCTCGAGGTAAAGAGACAATAATAACCATCCCAAGCTTCCCATCTACTTGAATTAACATTTGTTTCACTCAATAACATGATATCATCCTTTGGTTAGTAGGGAATGGAAGACTGGGGTACAAATATAATCACTATTACTAACATTCTTCCATTTCCTACTAACCAAAGGTAAGAATCATGAACTTCTGCGTTTGGAGTCATCCGACTCTCGGTCCATACGGGTTGTTGTAAGGATGTGCAGGTTGCTTCAGAGAAACTGTGGCTTTTGTGTCATGATTTCAGTCAGCGAATCCTTTCCAGCATTATGCTTTGAAGGATGGGAGGGAACAGACATTTGATTCTCTGGCCCGTGGCCGTGCTTCGGCTCAAGTGTGCATTGCATAGACACACGTGCTGAGTTGGTAAGGCTAGAATGAAGTCGACAGACATGGTGAACTCATCATCTCCGGCCCGAAATCCGGGCGCCTGCGCCAGCGTCGGAGGCTGAGCTCCTGGTGCAGCTACCTTTTGAATCCGGTCCCCCGAGCCCGCAAAGCCTGGAAGCCCACTTCCACATCCCGAAATGCCCAGAGGGCTGAAGCAGAAGCTCAGAAGCAAGGAGGAGGGTCCGAAGCGCATGCATGATTTTCCAGGCCTATTCTCAAGGATACTCGGCAAGTTTAGGGTCCACACTGCAGGGTGCGGGCTTCAAAGCTACTTGTAGCCGCTTAGCCATGGGTAACACACTGCTGCTGTTTTTTGGAGGCGTAGGCATGAAGCCGAAACGTTTATATAGCTCTTTTAGCATCCTTGGACCTTGGAGGAGCTTTCGAATCTTTACTAGAACCTCGCCCCAGGTGAAGCCTTCATGCTGAGCCTGTCGAGCTCGAGGTGGGGGGATTGCGCATGGTTGCAGCGGCATCAGAAGCCGTGTTCTGTTCTCTCCAAAGTCACGATTTTGGTTCCATGCCATTGGTGCCAAATCTCAGATCACTCATTGCGCCTCTCAAGTCCGTCAGGACCTGCGACACTCATCTCCCTGATTTCTCCGATCCCAAGCTCTGCGTGGCATGTTTTCCGCAAGTGGATACGGTGTGGTGCCCAGCTTTTGCAGAAAGTCTCGGTGTGTTCCGAAGCCCCTCCTTCACCCTCGCATTCCAAAGTGTCCCTGTGCAAGCTCATCCTGTTTTCCTCTTGGAGCTTGGGATCGGGCGTTGAGTTTGGGGCTCGAGGGGGTCTGCAGCTGCCACTTTGGGGTTTGCTGCGAGCTGAGTTGGGGCTGGGCTTGGGGGTTTGGGGCTCCCGTTTGTTGCCTACTGAGAAGTAAACGGTGCCAGGGCTAGGATTCCTGAAAGACTTCCCGAAGCAACAGATCCTAGAAGTCCCCGAAGCCCTGACGCTGCGAACCCCACAATCCTCAGCCCCACGAGCCCTTTTTCACGACGCCCGCAGCCCTTGAAATGCTCTGAACCCCAGCAGTTTAAGTCACCCAAAGACGCTAAGCTCTAAACCCCCAACATCCTAATTAATCGCCACGAGCCTTTGAATCAACCCCAAAAACCAACCCACCCTTCGCTTTGACTTCGTTTCAAAGCCGCGCCGCTATTCACGGAACAGCTTTGACTGGCAGAAGGTGGTAAGGCGCGGTGAGCTTCAGTGGGGCCAGTGTTGCCGGAGCAGGGTTGCTTTACCGCATGAGGCGATCGGCGAAGCGTTGAAGACCAACTCCATGCTCGCCAGCATCAACCTCGATGGCGATGAGGATGGGAAGGCCCGGTGGGCTTCCAGAGAGGTCTGTGCTGCTGCTTTCCTGTTTGACGCTCGCCGAAGCATTGAAGAGCAACTGCACGCTCACCAGTGGGCCTACCGTTTCTCTTCGAGCTCCAGGCCTTGCTGCGCAGCAGCCTACGGCAGGGACACAGCAAAACTCACGGGCATGCGCACACGCGCCTATTTCGTGCTCGAGAATCTGAAACCACGCCAGGATGTTGGGATGCATGTTGTGAACGGGCTTGAGATGTTGAGCCGACTGGCTGCAAGTGGGCGTGCAGGTTTTTGATCGGCCTGCTGCAGGAGTAGCTGTGCGCACTCAGCACAATCACATAGCCACTCAAAGTGTTTAGTGTGTCATTTCTGGGGCCTTCAAAATCGCACTCCCACAGAGTTTTGGAAGTTTATCGCTGTAGCCTTGCAGGTTCAGTGTCCATAGACATGCATCGTGAGATCGTGGTCCATCAAGCATATGAAGCGGAGTTATCATCCAATGATCAAATGATGGAGAGGTCGATGTCGGTAATCATCCCTTACTTACATACCCTAGTTACTAAGTCTCGTGATCCTTTGTGTGGGAGCCTGACTGGAGGAGGCGTTTGCCAAAACGAACATGTGCGAGTTCGCCGCCGCTCAGCTCGCCTCCCAGTTTGGTTCCGCCAAGCCTCATCCGGGAGTTTCCGAAAGTAGGGGACCCCAATTACCCGAAATAGTAGGATACTAATTGTTAGGACCCCGAAATAAGGTACCCAATCTGGGTCGCGAACGGTCCAAGTGTTGTGTCATTGGATTTTGCCTTTGAAGTTCAACGAACAATTCCTCAATGGCGGCGGCAAATCTCGGGTGACACCACAGCACACGGCATTCCCTAAACCCTAAAACCCAAGCCAGAGCCGCTTGCAGCCATTTCGCATCAGCTGGGCGAGGCACTGCGTCTCGGGTTTTGAGTTCCAAGACCCAGCGGACCAAGCGCCATGGTTCATTTCCCGGCTCCTCTTCTCTGTCTCCTTGCCGCAAGCGTTTCGACGGCAGAGCCTGGGCTTTGATCTATCACCAAACCCCCTATGCCCTAAACCCTAAACCCAGTACACCAAACCCCCTATGCCCTAAACCCTAAACCCAGTACTTTTGGAAGAATTGCGCGGGAAACCCAACGTCTCCAGAACTGGCAGCCCTGGCTCAGGTTTCGACGGGTGAGGGATGCGGTCATCCTGATACACCGATGGAAGACGATCAGAACTCCCAGCTACAGACAAAGCCAGCTGCACACAGCACCGCAACTCAGGAAAAGTTTCCGGACTGGCTGCTCTGGCAGATGAAGGGTGAGCTTGATGACCTTCAAAGCCGCAACAGCGCACTTGAAGAAAGCACGGCTTTGGACTGCAGCTTCGTTTTCAGCGTGGAGACCGCGCAAGAGGGCCGCCTGTTTGTACCGGTAGGTAGCCGTTGCGGCTACGATGACAGCGTTGATGAGTCGGATGTGGTCTGCACAGCGTCTCAGGGCCCATCGGTGAATCCACAGTCGGTAAAGTCGGACATCACACCCTTTGAGTTGCAGCCGGCCGGGTCCGGCGTGAACTACATGGTGGAAATCGTTGCCGATAATGCGACTTACAGATTCCAGCCACCTGACCAGTGGAACATTGCATGCCGAGCAGCTACGACTACACAGTAGCCAAGCTTCAGTAGTTGAAGCTTCAGTAGTTGTCGAAGCCTGCCGTCAGGAGCTTACAGACCCAGAAAAGCAAGACGAGCATCTTGCGTCTACAGGCGTGTTGTAGAATTTGAACGTCTTCCTATGAAACTTCCCATATGAAGCAAATCCTTGCAGACTACTACTTCGCAGAATTGCCGTGTTGTTCTTACAACGGTGCAGGCAAGAAGGACACGATGTGTCCTTTGAGCTTTGCGCCAGGGGTTGCAATGATATTCTTTTGTCTCCTGTGATGAAGGCGGCTTTCAACAACGCAACTATCGATAGGTGGAAATCTACGGCCTTATGGACGGGCAGGTCTGATCGCTCATGTAATGTTTCAATGGAGCTGCTTATAGGAGAGCCTTTCTCAAAGCTGTGATTCTGATAAGGCTTGTTGTCAGACCTCCATACCTGAAAGCCTCGGTCCAGAGGATTATGGCCTCAGCTGCTACCAATCAGTAGTGGAGCGCTGGATCTGCCAGAGCTGTTTGAAGAAAAAGAGCAGCTGCGGGCCAGCAATCAGTCTGTTGCCTTGCCGTGCCTGTGGCGCCGCATCATTTATATAGCAGTGAGGATTATCAGTTCGATAATGCTTTAGAATGCTTTAGACAAGGCATTTGCATACTTCAGACTGACCCAACAAACTCCAAGGCTTTGAGCACCCTGCTGTCATCAGGTCAAAAGGCCCAAATCCAAGAGCCAAAGCCGACGCTCGAGAAGGCTAGCAGGACTGAGCCGTAACTTTGAAGCAGCAAGGCTGCGATGCAAATTCCACACTGTCCCCGCATTTGTCAGGCATGGCAGCTCATTTCTTGCCCGCTAGCAGGCGCAAGTTCTCCTGTGAGCTGCTAGCAGATGCGGCCCCGGGGAGTTTTTGCTGAGGGATCCTACCATCACGGGAGCCCGGGAGCTAGAGGAGCCAGGTTATTATTATTATTATTATTATTATTATGATTACTATTATGATTATGATGAGTATTAATATTATTATTATTATCATTCTCCTGCGTGAGGCGATCGGCGAAGCGTTGAAACCCAACCGCTCGCGAGCATCAACCTCAGCTTGAACGGCGTGACGAGGGTGGGAAGGCCCCGTGGTTTCAGCGAGGCCAGTGTTACTGCATGAGGCGATTGGTGAAGCGCAACTCCACGCTCACCAGCATCAACCTCGAAAGCAACAACACCCGCAGGCAGCGATGCGGCACGGTGGTTCAGGTTTGAGCGTGTTTCTTCTTCTCCTCGCGACATGCTTGCCGAGATGCGAAATAGTCCTGGGATCAGAGCTGTTGGAAGGACTCGGGGGCTCTTCGCACCATTTGAATGACGAATTTTGCCTTGAAATTGCTACCATGCACTGTGCGGCGATCCTTAACCTTAATTGGAACGGGGGATGCAGGGCCATGCAAAAGGCCGGGGTTGCGAGACACTTTGGGAGCAATGAGGTTTCCAAGCCTAGGGCCGAAGCCACAGTTCGCCGAAAGCCCCTCGATAGGTCAGAAGCCTTCAGTCCGCGAAGGAAAGGTTGCGCGTTGTTGTTTTTGTGCGATGTTTGGGTCGCACCGGTGCTCAACTTCCGCCATCGACAGTGCCTCCCTCGGAAACCAAAAAAACAGCCGCTCTGCTAGAGCGACGTCGAGGCGGCTTTCGTCAGGAACCTCTCGAGACTTACTGGCTACTGTATACTGGATGCACATCCACATCCTTTGGGGGCGTCGGCGCGGACATCCAGCACCAAAACAGCCAGCACGAAGGGGTCATTGGAGCTTTCCGACTTGTTTAGAGGCCCCCTTTTTGCCTCATCTGTGGGCATTTTGACTTGTTTAGAGGCGGCTTCTTGCCTCCGGCGTTTCGAGGTGAAGCCTTCGTGCTGGGCCGAGCTCGAGGCTGGGTTTCGACATGATTTTTGCAGCGTTTGTGTCTGCGCTGCGCATGATGAAAGCTTGCCACCGAAGCTGAAGCTCGTCGCTGAATTGCCGCTGTGCGGCTCAAAAGCAGTCGGAACCCGCGTTATTCCCTTTTGATAGCCATCTCCTTCATCTCATCCATCCCCGAGCTCTGCATGTCTTCCGCCAGCGGATACGGCCTGCTGCCCAGCCATCTTCGCATTTTTGGAGCATGTTTGAGCGCGGTCCCAGTCCAACACCCCCTGGTCCAAACCCCAAACCCTAAGCCCTCAATCCTAAATCCTAAATCCCAAGCCCTAAACCCCAAATCCTAATTCCTTTTCCCATGTGGCAGACCGATCCCGAAGCTCCAAACTCGAAGCTCCGGTTCCCTGAACCCCAAACCCTGAAAGCGCCCAAGACAGCCCGAAGCCTCAAACCCTACTACACCCGAAACCCTCAAACAGTCTCCGAAGTGCCGTGAAGTCAGCGCCTTGAAGCCGAAGCCCCAAACTTAACTGCCCCTCATCCTAAGCTCCATGAGCCCTTGAGCTTCGCGTCGAGGCCGGGCCCAGGGATCCGAGGCCGGGGGTTTCGTTGCAGTGGCATTGTTGAGTTCTGAAGCGGAATTCGGCAAGATGGTTTAGGTGGTTTAGGCTTCTGGGCTTTGTTTCTGGTTTAGGGCTGTGTGGCTCTAGGGTTTCAAGGTGTTGCGGTGTTGTTTTGGCGGTTTCCCAGTTTGGGAGTTTTGGGTCGATGAGGACGAATCTTCCGGAGCTTCTTCCAAGAATTGGCTTGAGACAAGGGAAGACGAACCCGAAACCCAATGCCCTGTAACGCTAAACCCTACCCCCCAAAACGCAAAACCCTAAAGCCTAAAAACCCTCATGCCGTACAACCTTATAGACCCTGATCTTCAGGGCTCCTGGCAGACTTTGGAGCGAAGAGCCTTCGAGTTTCGGTTCCCTTCGAAATCCCTTTGTTCTGAGTCAATACCTTGTTTCAGAGTGCATGTTGTAACTTTAGACGTGGGGTTCCCTGAGACACTTTACAAAAGCTGGGTACCACTGGAGAGGACATGCAGGGAAGTGGGAGAGTTTCAATTTCGAGGGGTGTTCAAGTTCAAGCCATGGGTTTGTGCAATGCTCAGCCTGCTTTCTTTTTTTAGCTCTAAACCGTTGCGGCCTTATTGCATCTCAATACGGGAGTGCGCCCTTTTGCTCGTGTTTCGGCACGGTTTGGGCTCTCTGTCTCTCTGCAGAAAGGCCTGCCTGTTCATGCCTCAGGCCCAGTATTGCTTGACGGATCCCGGGAGCTTGGCCCAGTACCTCGAGCATGCCAACATCCGCCTGGTGCGAGCCAAGTGCCCTCAGCGGGCCACAGCGAGCTTGGGATGTCGCTCGTGCCGGTTCCGCAGTCTGCTTCCAGGTATTTGTACGAGTTGGTGCAGTCGAAGAGAACTTTGCCTCGACGCCAGGAAGCCGTGCCGGCCTCAGTTGCTGCGCACGGATCCGATTCTTCCGGCTCTGTGTTCTCACGAACTTGTGCAGAGGAGGAGTGGGGCCTGGTGACCCACGAGGAAGTGAGGGCGTGGGCCGCAGGAACTCGGGACGCCATGATCTGCTCGGTGTCCCACGCCTGGGAAAGCCGGGAGCATCCGGACCCTTGCGCCCACCAATTAAAGTGCCTAGTCGACGTCGTGTCTCTCTTCGATGCTGCCTACTTTTCCGATGTCTGGTTGTTTTACGACTACGTGTCTCTCTTTCAATTTAAGAGGGAGTCACCAGCAGAAGAAGAGAGCTTCCGACGGTCGATGCAGGACATGCACGTCTTGTACGCTCATCAGTGCACCAGAACTTTTCGCATAGAAAGCCTTACCCCGGACGATGTCTGGGATGCTGCGTTGGCGAACTCGGAGTATCGAGTCAAAGTTTACGATGAAGCGACCGCTTCGGTCCGAGACCGTCCGCTCAAAGAGCTCTACGGGAACCGGGAAGTTTACAGAAATCGAGGGTGGTGCAAGGCCGAGGTCGAGTGGTCGTTGGCCAGGAGCAGATCCGAACAGAACCACTGGATCGACGCTCCAGCGTTGCAAAGTTGTTCGGCCCCTGAGCTGTTAGGCAAAGTGCCCATGGCTCCGGAGATTTTTGCGGAAGAGATGAACTCGGCAGCCTTCACCCATCGCTCCGATGCCGAAGAGGTGAAGAGGCTGCAGTTTAAGGTTTTCCTCCAGAAGGCGTCCGGGTGCGAAGAGGCTCTCTTTGAATACCTGCCCGAAGGGCAGCTGGGGCAGCTGGCAAAGGTTCTGCCCTACTACGAAAAGCTGAGGGTGCTGAGGCTCCGAAATTTCAAGGTGGGCCGAGCGGAGGCCGAGGAGTTTGGGAAGGCCGGGCTTCGCAGCTGTGAGGCATGCTGTGCGCGTGCACATGCATTGGGCCCGGCAGGCCCTGGCTTCGAACAAGACGATTCGAGAGCTCGAGATACGTATCGGCAAAGAGCATGAATATGGTTTTCTATGGGAGGCACGGCGGAGTCAACATTGACTTGAAGTGAAGGCTTAAAGGCTTTTGGGCTTCAGACAGGTTGGTGCTGCTGGATCAGGGTTGCTTTTCCTGCGTGAGGCTATCGGCGAAGCGTTGAAGTGCAACTTCACGCTCACCAGCATCGACCTGAATAACAACAGCATCGGCGTCCCAGAGGCTCCTAAGTTATCAACATACGAGACCTCAGCGTGAAAAGTCATGGTCAATTGAAATCGTTATCTGAGACCATTGTGAGCAATAAATAGATGTAATCGTATAAATATATATGTAATATATATTATATATATTTATAAGAATAGTATATATAATCATACTTTAAACGTGTATAGTCTTAGGCTTGAGGCTTTGGGTTTAGTGGGGTTAGAGGAATCCACTCGCTCATCATTTTGCCCCACTGCTCGACGGTCTAGGGCATGTTCGGGAACCTCGAATCAATAGCAAACCGGGGTTGAAATCAGAATTGCCATGCACACTCCACTTGCTGCCGAATCGCTCACCATAAGCACGTCGAAAGAAGCTCATTTCCAGAGTTGCTCGATGGCATCGTCGAGCAATGGCTGTCGCACAGGGGGCAAGGGTGGATCAAACGATGCAGCCATAATCCGATGACATGATTCTTTCATCATCCTGCCTTTTGCCGCACCCATGTACCCCTCATCTCTAAATGTATGCCCATATTTCGGGTTCTGACCTTGGCAAATAGCACTTTGAGGCGTTGGAATTCATTGTATAAGTTTTCATATGTGCCGCCGTGGTGCCATCCATCATGGCCATGAAAACAATTTCTTGAAACGCCTCAGATCAACATACTGCAATAGAGCTGCAACCCATGCTATGCTTAACATGATCGATAGTGCCAGAAAGCCACGTGGAACTTGGGTCGCAGTGGCCACAATCGGTCGGATCTTTGGGCTGCCATTGTCGCAAGTGCAGCATAGCTGATGCAGCATTTGTCCTGAGCATACGTTCGTGTTTGATGTGTGCACACTGCACAGCATTAAAAACAAAAAAACCTTTGCCAAGATTCGCATGCCTCCTCGAGCTCAGCTTTGCCACTTGGGCTCAAAAAGCGCCCGTTTTTTTCCATCCGGTTGAAAAACTCATTGAGCCAATACCTGATCATCAAATTACGGGGTTAGGGTGTATAGGGCCTAAAAAAACGTAGCCCTGCTCCAAACCATAAACGATCTGTTTGCAGCGATGTTGCACGGTCTTCACCATTTCAGACAACTCTCGGTCCGAGCGAAAATCGTGGGAGTCGCACAGCTTCAGCAGTAGATGGCATAACCATCCAGTCACGACACGAGCCTAAAGTCACAACATGGTATGTGGCACAAATTGCACATGTAGGCGCCGAAGTCGAAACCTAATGCAAACCAAGGGGCATTGTGAGCCTTCATGCTCATCTCTGCATAGCCCGATACAGAATCTCGAAGGTTTCGTGCGTGAAATTCGGGCTGCGAGTGCCTGGCTATTTTTGATAACTACACATGTGCAGGCCACCTAGCAGGCCATGATCTGCTGCTGTGCACACATGTACACATATTGTGCAGCATGTTGCTCGATCTTGTTCGCCCGAGTCCATTCCATGAACTCCGAGTGTGCGATGTTCAGTCTGACGTTCGTCCTTTCCTTCGCAAGCGTGCCGGCGGGTGCCGGCCAGATGTCCTGCAGCAATTGAAATTGAACAGTACACACGTGTTTAGCTTTGTAGGTGTATGCACATGAATCCCGAGTGTCCTCGTTCTTCAAAAGCATGAGCATCACCGATCCCACCACCCAGTGGCATATGCCAAGATTTATGCTGTGCATGCTGCACCATCGAAGTGCAGAATGATGAAAGCCCCTGATGCTCAGCACATGGCCTCAGGATGAAGCTGAAGATCGATTCCGTAAACATTTTTTTACGACCATGATTGTGTACATGCATGAAGACAAGGAGCTTCGGAAGCCCTGGTAGGGTTTGCAGATTGACTTGAAGTCCTGCCACCCTCGTCGAGGAAGGAACGGTAGTTGCGAAGGAAACTTGAGGTAGTCGTTGTCTTTGGCTTGGCACATGTGACACAACTGCTTGCAGTTCCAGGCTGCACCCAGGCATAGCAGCTCCTACATCCGAAGCTTGAAAGTATCAGTGTGCATGTACGAAACTCCAATCACATGTCCCCGATGTCCTTCATGAACTTCCAATCCGCCCGGCACTCCGAAAAGTAAGCTCGGGGGAACATAATTTTTTCACCCATCACATCAGCGGCTGACCTCTCCACCTCTTCCGGGCTCATGTTGTTCGGGTCCAGGTACATAGGAGCCACTCCCAAATAGCAGTAATTGAAAGATGCAGCGATCTCAGTTGCTTGCAAACTTGTTCCCTACGGCCTAAATATATATTAGACATAGTTGCAAAAATATAGTATAACATAGTAAGGTAGGCATGCCCAACTTTGCGTCTGGAGGCGGGTCTCATGAAGGCTTGCAGCGTCGGGAATCCCGTGCTCAAAGCCTCAGCTCTCAACGATTTGCTGTGGCACCCCAGGATGGTTTGTGAGTGTGCAGCTGCATCTAGCATGACACTAATTCAACTTGAAGGTTAGGGCATGTAGAATAGCAGTCAAGCCTAGCAGCAACACGAACAGCAAACATCGGGAAGCGGTCCTGCATCTCGTTATCCACTGATATATTCATCGATACCAAGATCAGCTTTTGGCCGTGCTCGGTGTACCGGAAGTCATCCCCATGGATTCCGATTGGAATCATGCCCCGCTCGGCCTCTGCAGGCCACTGCACAACAGAGCTCTCGTGCTGCTTGAAGTTATCCCAATAGTGATCAAGATCGTTGTCGCTGAATAGTTGCCGTAGCCGCCCACATGAATCTAAAGCATTCAATATGTCGTGCGGCAAAACCACCGGCATTTCCCTGAAGGTTGCAGTGGGCCCGACACCTATAGCTAGAGGTAGCAAGCTTAAGGACATAATAATTATCATTTCAGAATCGTTACGAAATCCCTTTGCAATAAAAATTAATGTGGTCAAGGATCCTTTGCTCCACCTTCCAGACACCTTTGACCCGTGTTCGGACAGGCACCACAACAGCTCGTATGGGCACCTGAACAGCAGGGGAAGCACAAACTTAACATACACAAGCCAACACTGTTGCCTAGATCGCTAGAATCAACAAGTTGGAGCCCGGCCTGGCAGGGGGCTTCGTTTCTCAAGACATCCCTCTCTATGTTGGACGTGTGTCGGCCCTCTGCTCCAGCATTAGCCATAGCAGCCAGCGATCTGTCAGGCCAGATGTCGTGGTGATCGTAGTCCTGGTGCTGGAGTGGGTGGGAAATATTTAGGGCTCGCAACCTGCCGGCATCGAAGGTTTAATAGGGTATAGGGTCCTAAGGGCCCAAACTAGGTTTTAGGATAATATAGTTATGTAGGTTACTATTTGGGAGAGTATAGCATACTTATAGGTACTTGGACCCTTAGGGGTAGTACTGCAAACTCAGAGAATACCATCATTATAAGGCGACATACTAGGAACCAGGATTTTTTGTTTTATGTTGAGGGTTTACGGGATAGAGGTTCAACTACATAGGGTAGTGCAGTCGCGGGTATCGTACCTTAGCTCATTGCAGTCCTCCACTGCAGCGTGAGCCACCCGCTGTGCGGAAGAATAGCTGATCTCCTGCTGCTCATTCGAGATACATCAATCATCTATTGCACGAAAAGAATCATGTGTAGTCGGCTTGCAACTGCAACATGGCAGTCCCCTGATGTGATCATCGAGTGTAGGCATTGGCTTAGACATCCACGGCCGAAGCGATTACCATCATGAGCTGTGCCTGCGTCGGACATGCTCTTCCATGATAACATGCATGCTTTATGTGCACGATGCCATGGCACGGTCCGTTTAATTTTTCTCGTTGAGAACATGCCGGGATCGAGTGCAGGATTCCCACACCCAGCGGAAGGTGGCTGCCCACATGTCTCACATGACAGGCTAAGGATCTCATGAATCCTCACCTGTCTCGGATGTCCCGAGTTGGAACCCACATAATTTTGCATGTACATGTGCAACTCTCACATCAGTACTAAGGCCACTCACCGACGACTAGAATGATTTGCGAGCTAGCTTCAAGTTTCACCCACCGTATCGTCCGAACTGGCATATTTAGTTCTAGATGACCCATGGCAGCAATATGCAAACTAGACCCTAAATTCGCGAAGATGCAACATCATGCTATAGCCGTCGGCCACATGACCAATGAGGTGAGGGACACATATCTAGATGCATGTGATAGCTCACACACACTCAGCTTCGGAACAAAACCCTTGAGGAGTGGCCCACGTCACTCACTTCTTCTTGGCTGCACCCTTCTGCTTCTTGGCAGGCTTTTTGGGATCGGGCTCGACCTCGGGTTAAGCTTATCACTGGCATTGGAGTAGTACTGTAGCCATGAGGCTCGTTCCACATAAATAGCTAGATCAAGCCAAGCCACAAACAAGGCTTTGATGGGTCTCAAGGCATTCGTGTATTGTTCGACGGCCTTGTCGACTTTCGTGACAAGCGGCTCCAATGTTTTTTCATCCTTCGACCCTGAAATCATCTGCCAGTCGAGGGCTTCCGTGGCGACTTCGATAGGCTGCTGGTAGAGCTTGATTTGCGAAACATAACCTTCAGCCAGCATGGTCGACCTGGGCATGCACACCGGTTTTGGGTTCCGGTTTAGGGTACGGGTCAGAGCAGCTACAGAGGTTTGCTGGTGTGTATATCTATAGCGGGGATGTTCAGGATCCAGGATTCCAGGCGCTATGATTTTGGGTTTTGTTTGTAGGCTTTTCGGCTACGATTTGATTATTCAACCAAGTGACAGTTTTCGGGTCGAAGGTTCTGGCAAATTTTGGTCCTCTGTGATCGTCTTGATCCAGTACTTTGCATCCGTCAAAGCCGATCGTCCAGCCTTTAGCTTCGAGTTCGCCTTCCCTGTGTAGGTGGGAGGTTTCTTTGTCTTGTTAGGATTCGGAGGAGGTTTGTTTCCAAGGTTCTCCCGCGATCCAGCGGGCTGCAAACCTCTGTTGGTGGGATCCACAGCCAATGGCTGCGATCCGGACCTTGGCGATCAGAGTTTTTGATTGGTGGATGCTTTCTTGGGTTGCATTGCGGGCTC